CATAGACAGGCATTAGTGGTTCGAGGCTTGCTTTGATCATTTCATTTCGTATTTTGTCAACAAATGGTGATTTCTTATTTTTCAATTTCTTCGCCGCTTGACGTATTTCCCTCTCAGTTATCTCATAATCGAGATGGTTAAACTGTTCCTTTTCGTGTTCTAAAGAATTTAGTTCCCTATGGATTTCATGTTCATGCGTGGAATTCGTCGGGTCAATAGAATGCAGAGATTTGAAATGGTGAAGCCATGATTCTTCCGAGATTGGGGCAGGAACATTTTCGTTGAAAGTGTCGCTCATCGAATTTAAACAATTCCAAAATGACGCCTTGTCAGGATTTAAAGCTAGTTCGTCGAGTTGTAATGTTTTTCTTTATGGAATCCTCTCTTCTTTGTGTCGAGGAGCTTTTTGTAATCATTCAAGGTTTTGTGATATCTTTCCCGCACTTCGGAGTTGAGGGGTCACGGTGCTTTTCATTTGAGACTTTTCGTAATTCATGCCTTTTCAAGCGACAGTCACAGTCGAACCATTTCTTGTTGGATGATTTCTTAATACGCTTATAAGTTTTCTTAGCTTTAATTTTTAGGCATAGCTTGGAGCTCTCAGTTAGAATTTTCATAGCGTTTTCTAAGGAGATATTCACATCTTCGGTGTTTCTCTCCATATATTGTCTAATTTGAATTTGGATTGGTTCCGTGCGCAGTGCGTTTTTGAATTTTAAATGTGAGTCAACTTCCCACCAAAATTGCCGTGGTAATTTTGATAATCTATTGCTACTATTTAGAGTGTGCATTTCGTCTCCAATTAACCTGGTGTTAAGATTGAGCCATGCCACGATGGCACTATGATCCGATAAATAAGATGGCTGTTTAACAACAAAATTTGCAACGTTGAGAAATGTACACTGATCACATATTAGATAATCAATAACGCTCGTTCCGTTTTTTCCATGAAAAGTGGGTCTGCCTAGGGTATCTCCATTAACTCTGCCATTAACTATTCTTAGGTCAAAGGTTTTACAAATTTCCAACAGCCGTTTCCCATGGCTATTTAAAACATTATCAAAACTGTTTCTTTGAGTTGGCTGGAAAGCAGATTCCGACTGATCATTACTAATTCTACTGTTTCTCTCCTTTGAGACAGTATCAGAGTATTTCCCGGTTCTCGAGTTAAAGTCACCCATGAGAATTATTGATCCTTTCGAAGAAAAACGTACTATGTCTTGTTCTAGCTGATCAAAAATTTCGTTATCGAAGTATTTTGAGTTACAGGGGGGTATATAGACACCACAGACGTAAATATTCTTCACTGAATTTAGAAAACGATTCTCAATTTTAAACCAAATAAAATGCTGAGTTGTTTTAGTGATGGAAATGTTTTTATGGAATTTGTTCTTATAAAATAAAGCGATTCCTCCGGAGTTACGCCCACCTCTCCCCGACTGATTTGGTGTGGGACATTGAAAAAAAAGATTTGTATCCCGCAATTTCCAGATTAGAGCAGTTGCCAATTTCTGTTAACAATATAAAATCGGAGTTATTAATAACACTCACAAAATCAGTATTATCTAACTTATTTCCAAGATATTTCGAAGAAAAGGCCATTAATATTCCAAGCGCAAAAGGACAATGTGCTTGAAATATCGGGACTATCTTCGGTGTCCGTGATTGTATAGAAAATAATAAATGGATTACTCTTTATACTGGTATAAAGTTTATCATTAATACTTAATTCAGTGTCAAGGGTAAGATGAAATTGTTCATACAAATGATTTTATAAAACGAAGAAAGGATATGATTTCCTGAGGCATTGCTGAATCCGTTAATTTGTTGTAGGGGCGAGCTTCTTCACCTGCGGTTTCCATTTTAGCGGCCTGTGGAAACGTTTGATGCGGTGTTTTGGAGTATTGATGCGATATAGTTGGTGGCGGAGCTGGGAGTATCTGGTCCGGCAGGGTTTGCATAGGAAGCTGGAATGCTTTATTTGAGGCATTTGGTTCATGATGTAGTGAATTTTGCAATGGTGTTGGAGGTATTCGTTGTGGAAGTTGTGGTGTGACAAATGGTAACGGCGGAGGTTGAGTTTGAAGAAGGTGAGGCCAACTAGGCACTTGAGGTGGTGTGTTCTTTACGGCATTGCTGTATGATGTGTGATGTAATAGTGGCTTGGGGCCTTGGGACGAAGTCGGTTGAGTTTGTGAGGATCTTTGTCTTTGGGCTGGCATTGTATTAGAAGGAACTGTAGGTTTTGGTCTGGCACGACCGCGAATTGCGTCCTTAAGGTTTTTGGCGAAAAAATTTACGTACCGTTTAAGAATATGTTTCTGATCGTAAAGAATATTTGATTGATTCTCAAAGAGGTTGTCATGTTTGACTAACTGCACATTGGGTAATCTTGAGCAGCTACTGATCAACTGATTGTTTATTGAGGTTATTATTGGTGTCGGGATGTCGCTGCGGGGAAGAAGTGTTGAGTAGAATATTTTGCTTGAAGGAAATTTCGTTGAGGCTTCTGTAATCAATATTAAGATGTTTGAAATAAGATCTTCAGGAGAACTGGTTCTTTCTAGATCGTTTGTTCCTGTGTGTAATATGAGTAGTTGGGGAGCAGTGTGGATTTGACTTTGTAAGTACGATCTAGCGTGTTCAATCAGTGGAGTTCTAACATACTTCACTTCCTGGTCTGAAGAAAACATTCTTTCCATGTCTAAAAACTTTCCATTTGAATCACATAGAAAGATCACTTCATTCGAATTATTGGTGTCGTTGGTAGTAGGAGACTTAGGAGGGTGCTGGGAATTAGTGTCTACGGGTTTGTTTTGTGGTTCTTTTCTTGGCGGGTTTTCTGGTAGATCTTGAAGGGGAGAGAAAGAGTTTGATGTTGGAAGATTAACAAGTAGTATCTCATCTTCTGACCATTGGTTGTCGTTTGATGTAGGAATGGCAGCTTTATTCTTTGTGCTATCATTGAATTTGTCGTCCATTTCTTCACCAGAGGTCTGGCTCGACGTCTTAGTTGTTTCCGGCGGCAGTTGTATTGTTTCCCAGAGGGCTTTAATTTGGTCCTTAAGAAAGGTGATTTCCGCTTCAAGCTGGTTCTGTGTTCTTCTCATGGTTGCGTTATCCTCCGATATTTTCGCATTTTTCTTTTGAAGTGCTTGATTTTCATTCTGTAATTTGGAAATTAAGTCAGCGTGTTTTTGTAAATCGTGATTTAGAAGTTTAGTATTGTTTTCCAGATCATCAGCAAGGCCCCCTAGGGTTGTTGTTTGTACTTTGAAATTGTGATCTAGTTGGGCAGCTTTGTCTTTTAGGTGCTCGAGGTTACCAGCGTTTGTTACTTTAAACTCAGTAAAATCGGCTTCTAAATTTCCGACGGTATTTCGAAGAGTAGTTAAGGTGTTTAGCCTACTCGGTGTAAGGGAGAGTTCAATGGGTGTTGACAATTGCGTTATTCTTGTATTTCCTTTGTCTGCACTGGGTGTTTCTCTTTCTGTTATGTCACTGACAACATTTTCAGCATTTTCCACGGTAGTGTCGTTTAGTTCCGAAGCCCTTGTGTCCGCAATCTCACACCCTTTGTACTTTGTGAAAAACTTTTGGAGTTCTATATGGAATGTAGATTTGTCCTTTGCGCTAACAGCGCTAAGGTTTCCTGACGACCCGAGACTGTTAACAATAGATAGCAGTGCAGGAAATTCCTGTTGACTCCACTCGGCGAATTTTTTGCCTTGAACCATGATTCTGCCAGTGGAAATAAAGATAGTTATGGTGACCATTTGATCTTCAATGTTATTTTCTTCCTCTTGAATGTGCATGATGATTTTATCGCTTTTGGTTGGGCAGCTATGTGACTCTTGTTCTTGCCATGTTACTCGATATCCCATCACGTTCAGGTGATCAAAGTATCGCACAGCGAAGGTTTTGATCCATAAAAGTAGCCGGTCTTCAGATGTTACAAAGGAGACAACCTTAGCAGCAGTTTTGTAGGCTGAAAAATCGATTGCTTCGAATAAAACTGATTTGGATTTAGTGGATGAGTGAAATTTGTCGACCAATATCGGTGAAGATCATCACATGGTTTCATGTCCACCATTGAGGCTGGCTTGAATGTTACCTTTTTCTTTTGTCCAGGATTATCTCCAGGCTCGAAAGAGGGGTCATCTTTGTCTTCATCCATGTATATTTACGTTTTGATAAGCTTTTTACCAGTATAATTCAATCCTTCCATGTAAACGACCAAACTTCTCGCACCTTAAAAAGCAGGGACCATTTTCAGTGGTCACGCAAGTAGTAGTGGTAGTAGTAGTAGTAGTAGTAGCAGCAGCAGCAGCAGCAGCAGCAGCAGCAGCAGCAGCAGCAGCAGCAGTAGTAGTAGTAGTAGTAGTAGTAGTAGTAGTAGTAGTAGTAGTAGTAGTAGTAGTAGTAGTAGTAGTAGTAGTAGTAGTAGTAGTAGTAGTAGTAGTAGTAGTGGTGGTGGTGGTGGAGGTGGTGGTGGTGGTGGTAGTAGTAGTAGTAGTAATAGTAGTAGTAGTAAAAAACATTCGCTTCTCTAGTTAGTTAGAACTCCTTTTCGTAGCGAAGTTTACGATTGCATTTAGTACATCACAAATACTACGTAATTACAAGAGAGAATAATGGGACCGAGAGGGAATCTTAGGGCGTTGTCTTTGATGTGTGAATTCCTCTAAAGTTGTTTTTAGAGGTTGTAATTAAACGGAAGTGTATTTCCTGAGACGTCCGCACATTTTAATCGATTGTTTAAAACGTCACCAAGTCCACGCGCAACTGTCTCAAAGGAAACAGTGCAGAATGTTATAATAGTTGCTGTTGAATTCTCTCTTGACAACACTGAATAAACGTTTGAGGACCTTTCAGGAGACCAACTTCCGATTACTTTTAAGCGTTTAATTGGTCTAAAAATGGGTTTAATGAAATTTACATATTTCGAAGGGCTATGCTGGGCGTTTCCTTCTCTGTCCCATAATTCTCTCTTGGTAAACAACGATATTTCTCGCTTTCTACCCAAGCTAGGTGTTAAGTATCGTCTGGACAGATACAGGCTCAAATACGGAGATTCCTTCCCCCCCTCAAGTGAGTAAAAGTTATAAAAATTGTCGCAATAAATTGACTACGTCGATAGACATAGCAGTAACTCTTTTGTGATTTCACGATGAATATTTGTGGGCAATGGTTTTAGATCCTTGTGTTTTCATGATAATTAAGCCAATGAAACCTCTAGAAGCATCATCTTAGTACATAGCTTTTAATAACTGACATTATTATGGTTTACTACCGCAGATGTACTCGAACAGGTACTAGACGACGTCGAGAATACCGAATGCATGGTCAATCAAGTTCTTTACAAATCCTTTACAAAGCAGCAAGGTTCTGATAAAGCCCTTCTTCCCGTGGGTCAAGAGGTACTTAAAACAATGATATGTGGGGGGGAAGTATAGCTACATCGTTTCAGTAGAGGGAGCCTTTTTATGCTCTACAGTTATATCTAGATGAAACTGCATAAATGAGTGTTCCCAGGGAGAAAATTGTCGATATTTTTCTCATTTTGAAGAGCGCAATTGGAGAGCGCTGATATGCCTAGAATCATGCCGAAGGCTAAAGCCCAGGTCGGGCCAAAGCTAGATCTTTAACCCTTTGGTGTCGGATTGGATCAATTTTGTTACAAATGGAACGATGCACAGTGTGCATTTCTGGACTCGTTAATTCATGCTTTATGCAGCGAATTCAGCGAATCTAATTTTCACCCATTCCCTTGCTAATTGGCGAAAAACTAGTCCAAAAAGCTTTTTTTTTCGCTTAATTTAAAAAAAGCCGTTGCCAAAAGGCCTAAGAAACTGAGGTGAAAGTGCAGCCAAACTAGTCTTGGCAATGACATTTTTTAAATAGTCAGGCTCTCTACTCTTTTCGGGTAAAGACGTTAAAATGCAGGCCCTAACGTTGTGGAACGTCAGCCCACGTATTGTTGTAAGGAGCTGGGAGCGTAGTATCCGGTGTGGTAGGCTATCTTTGCCAGCATTTGGTTGGCCTGGCTGGATTAGCTTCGAGGGCTTCTAAGAGAATAGGACCAGAACACACATACAGTCAGAAATCAACTTATTTGACTGGTGCCGGAGCCCTTACTCAGGAAACTTAACGTAAATTTACCATGACTGCTGCAACTTTCTAGACTGAAATGTAACCTAATACTTTGTTATTTACTTACTGTCATAATCAAATAAAACACAGGAGTTTAAGAGAATGGCGTTTTCGTTGCCTTTGCAGGCGTGGGAAGCCCATGAAGCCATACTGGTAGACGGTTACCTTATAACACGTCAGCCATATGTAAGCAATGTCAATCGGTGTAGTGTTAGACACAGGAAACCCTTTTCCCGCAGATTTCCACATTTTGAGGTAAGAAATTAACCATTTCCATAATGACGTAATTTTTATACAGCCAAGAAAGTGATTTAAGGGCCTCTTTATAAAATAAAATCTCACACTTTAATTTTATCACGTTTACATGATGGATGGGGTGATCCGCCATTGAGGGTTGCCCGGTCTGATTGACCTACATCAACGATGAAATGTTGCTCAGAAACAAAATAATTTCTTTTCAAGGTGATGATTCTGGAAAGCGGGGAGACACGATGGCTGGGAATGGGAGTGGTGTTTGGTGATTACGGCACGGAGATGATGCCTGGATGGAGGAAAGGAACAGTTGGATATCACACAGATGACAGGAAAATTTATGATAGACAAGAAAGAAATAACGGAAGAAAGACTATAGGTTTGCAAACTGGAGTTCTGATCAACGAAGGCTTAGTGTTACACTGGAAAATGCCTTTGGCTGCATGAGTTAGTCCGTAAGGGTTTAACACGGAAGGCCGACTGAAAACTATGAGAAAGTTGCAGTCGCTGTTTTATTGACGAATCCGATGAAATTACGGGTGTTTTCCCTTGGGCCTGGGAAGGAGGTTTGAGGTCTGGTGTTTGCGAGTTAAGGTGATTCGCTAGCCCCAGTCCTCTCTCAAAAATCGGAGAAAATGCATTTGGTGCGCACTACCGCAAAAACGAGTACGCTGACCCCCATTTTTTATTTCATAATTTTAATAAGAACAGTTCTTCATTTCGATGAGAAAAAAATGACACAAATCTATGTTCAGTTTTTTGGCAATTTTACTAAATCGTAAGGATTTAGCTATAACGGGTCGAATAGCGGGTGTCCAATTTAATTCCTCTTTTGGAGCGTAAGGTAAAAACATGGGCATTAAAAGACATTTTTCTGGTACGTAAGTGGATAAACAATACATTAAAGTCAAATTCTTTGCGATAACACGTACATCATCGAAAAAATTTATTTCTTTTTGTCTAGTTTTGGGCTGCCCACGCTTTTTTTCAAAGGGTCCTAAATAGCCGTATTTGTCAGCATTGTGACGTCAAAACAAGCACGGTGACCCCCACTTTTTATTCCTTTTTCATCAACTTCTTGACTTACATCAGTGTACCAAGTTTCATTAACAATCTATGTTAGGTTCTTTCACTAAGGAATCACCTTAAGGTGCAGTCGAGGTTATTCGCGTCGTAATATTTCAGTGCGCAATATTTCCGCCTTTCACACGGTCGTGGGTTTTATGTAGATTAACACTTAACACGATTCCAACCACATTATCGTTTTGCTGTTCCTGCTTAACTTTCGCTTAAACATTAGTCGCATTGGCAGTTTTTAAATCTAAAGTATGTTTACTGTTGTTATATTCAGCCATAATCTTCATTTTGGAAACCTGACGCCAGAAAGCGTCTAGGAGCAAGCGTATATTTTCATTACATAACCCACGCGACAGGTTTTTACTGAAAAAACGCTGTTTTCAGAAGTATTGCTACAACGATTGCCTATTATATTAGCCTCATTTTTAACCCTCCGATGTATAAGGACAGGAGATAGATGGTAAGCACAGTTTTTTTTTTCTTTACTTAGGTTCTACCGCAGCTCGCCGAGGTGACGTCATTCGTTGTACTGTTATGTTTGAAGACAAGCTACAAGTAGATGGAGAAACTCGAGTTCCTGTTGTTTTTAGTGTAAACGGAAGCAGGATAGTACCCGAGGATAGGAACCCATCCTATATTGAATACAGCATGGACAGACCACTGTACCCTTACCTGGCCTTTAACTACGAAAACAGCGTTTTTGCTAAGGTAATATAACCATGGTAGACAGTTTATTTTTCACAGGAAAGGAAAGGAATCTATGGCTATATTGTCTCGATCAAACCAGTGTACATAGGTGTGTACTACTCCCAGAAATAAGGAGTCCTGGGTGAAAAAACCTCATTTTGTGAAATGGTAGAAAACAAATAATCACCAAAGAGGATTCATTTGAATGCTAACACCATAGGATTTTGTCTACAGACTCAGAAGCTAGAACTGATGCTCCGTCTGTTCAACAACCTCCACTTTTTAATTCCTATTATGGACACCTGTGTGATGTTGAAACCTGGCTAATTGTTTCTTTAGCGTCCGTATTACAGAGGTTTTGACTTCATCTTGGTCGTTGTTTTTTTTATGTTTGCTTCAGATGTGTGCAAGGGAGGACATTGGTTTTCAAGGCCAGGAGATAAAATCAAATCTCGACGAGGTGGAATCCAAACTTGAAGCGAAGTTACAATGCGTCCAGCGAAAACTTGATTCTCTGCTGGAAAGGTTAGGCAACAAGGAATTGAACGAATAACTTAAAAGCTTTCAAAAGGAGTTACAGTGAAGTTAAGGGTAATAAGAAGAGGCGTGAAAAAAAGCACCACGTTTAATGGAAGCTTTCTCTATCTATGCAGAGAGATGTTTTAAAATGAAAACGGTAGAAGTACACTAGGTGGATAAGTGACATCATAATCCCACAGTAGTGCAAGGGGAAACCTCCCTTAGGTTGTAAGCAAGGTTATGGAAATATTCAATCGCTTGTAAATAGGTTTTGGTAAGCTCTATACAATGTGTTTAAGTAAAATTATTATGGAAAAGAACGCTAGTGGGGAATTGCGACCTCATTCTAAATGATCGCTGTCTTACATTCCACCTAAAATTCCCTTTTATCCAAATAGTATTAAAACTAAACGTTTCGAATACTTACGTTCTAGAAAATATCGTAAATGAGCAACTTGCTACTATTTTGGCTTAAAGGAGGTAAGGGGAGGAGTAGGCAGGAGCGGGCGAAGTGATGGCGTGTGGGTGTGTCTTCAAGGTGTAGAAGGTGAAGCCTTTGCTCAGGCTTAACACCGCTCTGTACTCTCAGCCTCTGTAATCACAGATTGCTTGCCAAAAAATGACGGCGAACATTTCGTGGAAGGAAGGAAGGGAGGAAGGAATGAAGAAAGGAATAAATAGGGGACAGTAATCAACACTTTATTTTACGAGGGAGGCACATTTCAGTTAAAGGATCTAGACGGATAATTACTATTAAATAAGGTGACCATATGATAAAAAATACATGAGGGATGTATTTGTTTTTCGGCCTCTTTAGAGACACCTCCACAATACAGATACCTTAAAGGGGCTGTGTCAAGGCAGTGTAGTTCATTTTGTTTAATTTTGCCAATTACTCGCCCTCAATCGCTATGGAACTTAAAGTCAGCAAAGAAATTACATGTCAATGACAAAATCAGAGATCCGACAAACAAATATGTCTCCTGAGCATTGTTTTTGAAGTTGCAAGCAGCAGGGATCAACTTTGAAAAACTGTTGGGCTGAACAGTTTTCAAAAACCCTAATTTCAATCCGTTTCAATCTTCTCCAGTTTTGCCCATCCGTGGCATCTGTTGTTTCTGTTATGTTATTTTAACCTTCCTTTTAAGTTTTAAGCGGTTATTTTCATGTTTCTCACGCGAGGAAATTTACATAATTCAAGATTCATTGTTCGCTAGGCGGGAGTCGTTTTTGTTCGATTTTATATATCTCCATAATTCATATTGGCTCTCTGGTATTCCTCAGATATATGTTGCAGCCGATAAGAATAAGAGTAACAACCTGTCCTGTTTTGAAACAGACATTTACCTACGCGTATGTTCACGTACCCACGCTAGCAAACCGGTCTCGGATCGGTAACCAAAAATAATTTGTAAACAAACCTTACTGATCTCTCTGTTTGCCCTATATAAACTTTGAAATACCTGCAAATAGCCCCTGACTGGTGACCAAAACACAAAGTATCGGATGAGGTAAATGTTTTCTTAAAATGCCAGCTGAATGCACACTATAATAAAATAGGCCATGCCTTGCGGTCGGCTAGCGCGATGAGCACTCCGCATCATAAACATTGTAGCTCATCGTAGCATTGTTTGAAAGCAATTTTTAATGGCGCTTCATCATAAAACGTTTTCATTGTAATAGTAGCCACATAACGTATAAGTATAAAGATTATTCTAAAAGAACAACACAAAATTAAGCATAAGCAGAAGCTCATCACTATGACATAAATTTCGATTGCTTCCTTCCGAGTCATTGAGTCGGGTGTTCCGCAAAACAAACGTTATCTATTCAACACATAGAGAAACCAGATCTTAAACGGAACATTCAGGCAACAACTTATTTTTAAAAGATCAGCTCTTCAACATTGCTGCTCATACGGCAAAGATACAAGGAATATTCCGTGTGAACCACATCGCTAAAGGTCGCGCCGCCTAATTGTCAGTACTTTCTGGTAAAATACAACTACAAATCGGAGTCATAAATCGAATGCCTGTTGAAACGTTTCATGTTGGATGGATTGTTTACTCAAACCTCACACGACTTCCTGTACGGCAAAAGATTGCTGGGTTTTCTCCTTCTGATTCCAGTCACTGGAGAGAGTAAATTGTTGCAGACAATCGGAAGTCATGTCGTAGATCAGCTTCACTCGCCGCTGCGTCTTATTAGTAGTGCACGGCTGTATCAAGGCCGGAAAGACAGGAAACCCTTTTCAACTTTCTTTACGTGTTTAACCTTTAAGAACTATCCGGAAAAGGCAGATCGTTGACTGGATAACTTAATAGACAGAAATGAAAGCCAGATGACCACATTACACGCCACACTTGATCCGTTTGTAGGAAAACTGACAACAACGAACATGGCTTCGTGCACTTCTCCTCAATGACTTCGAATTTCTCGACAATGCTTGCACAAGAATACAAAATATGGCGCCAAATAGCTCTTGAATACTGATATCATGGCTTTCTCGGGCTTCTCAGGGTCGATGGAAGAGGATTTCTCCACGAAAAGCTAATCTTGAAAAAACGTTCGCCAGAACAGAAATCAAGATGCCGCACATGCGCAGAAGCGTGTCACATTCCCTTTAAATACCGCCAAAATTTATTGTCCTGCGCACAAAATGGACATTTTTTCTCGAGGAGATATCAGTTAGCAAAATTGTCAGGTAATTAAGCCTTATCATCTTATCATTTTTAAAAACGCTTTGGTGTCAACGAAATGTCAAACACGACATCCATTATACGAAGATCCATAAATACGACATTAGTTGTGTACATCATGGCGGATTCAAAATTTAAACATTATCTTGGGTACCAAGTCCCCAACCTCTTCTCGCGCAATGGGTAAAATGACTATGTAAATGTATGGTTCAATTGTCCCATAAAATTTTATTTGCAGGCGAATAATGTATTTATCAACTGAGTAAACTGTGAAATAACGATTGTTGTTAACTCCACTAAAGTAGGTTGCACTAAGGGTAATATTCTGGTCATAATAAAACTCATGTTTGAAATTTGCACAGTTCTGTTAATCCCTGTTTTACCATCGAGTCCGGCCGGGTAACCCTAAAATGGCCAGTTTAAACTATGTCTGAAAACAGGTTTCCATTTCAAATGCCTTTTAAA